AACACCCAGAATAATGCTTGACTAAACACCTAGGCCCCGACAAGCTGACACATAAACTTAACCATCACCGGTATCACATGTATAATTTTCCAACATTCCTTGGAATAGCAGTGCCTTAGTCCTCAACCACTAGTCCAAAGCAAAAGTAACCAGCCACCAGGAAACTTGGCAGGAGAGACAAATGGGTAAGATGAGCAGGTTGCAAGAAGCCTCCTTCTCTTCCCCTCTGAATGATGTTTCAAAGGATAATTTTTCTTAAAGGTTAATTCTCCAGAAAATAGAAATACCTAAGAGGAAACTACTAGGTATGAGTCCAAATGCATCATTTTAAGTTGTCAAAGTGTTTCTTGGAAAAAATAAGCAAAGAAGAAAAACCTGAAATTGTGAAAGTAACAAGTACATTATAATTTTTAGTGCATTTTGAAGATAGCATGTGTAAAATGATTAAGTAAAGATAATCAACAAACTCAATACGTATGCAGTGCTGTGTGGCCAGGTTCCTCTGACTTCCAGTGTTAGCACAGCCTCTGCCTCACTTCAAGGAAAGCAGACTCCTGACAGCCAGTGATCTGACTGAAGAGCAGTGCACAGGATCTCTCTCTTCCCGAGAGCAAACTTACTTTCTTTTAAAAGTTCTCAGAATGTTTTATAATTTTGTAACTTTAAATAACTGGTTTTAATTTAATGTTTTTTAACTAACACATTATAAGAAACAAAAGCCATAGTATCAATGCTTTCTAAACATAATTATGAAATGACGTAAGTATATACCGATAGTAAATATGATTCACCATCATAGGCTACGGGGCTTTCCAGGTGGCACTAGTGGTAAATAAAGAACCAGCCTGCCAATGCAGGAGAGTTAAGAGATGCAGGTTCAATCCCTGGGTCAGAAAGATCCCCTGGAGGAGGGCATGGAAACCCACTCTAGTATTCATGCCTGGAGAATTCCATGGACAGAGAAGCCTGGCGGGCTATGGTACATGGGGTCTCAAAGACTCCATTAGATACGACTGAAGCAACTCAGCACATACACGTGCACAATAGGCTACATGTTTTGGCATCTGATATATCCATATATTTAAAAGGGAAGTACATTTTAGAAATAAATGAAAATTAGGATTTCTCTGTTTTAATAAGTGTGTACTTTAGCAGGAACTCACCTGATCGGGGGTGGGAGGGAAGGCATTTGTGTTGGCTCCTACGCTAATTAGATGAAGAGCAAATCAGTGACGCCTTCCTGGAAGAAATGATCCCCGAGTTGCCAACAGAAGCGTAGCTCAGAATTAGGCAAAAAAGAATCTGAAAAGCAAATTCTGGGCTCAGCAAACAGCACATGAAGTGAGAGACCGTGAGGAGGGGTGAGAGGGCAGCTGGGGGCCCGGCCGGGTCACCCAGGTCACGCACTGGCTGCGGAGACCACCGTCTCAGCTCACGGGAGCCACGGAGCCACGGGGGTGCCCTGCGGCAGTGCTGCAGGACCTGCGGCGGTGGGGGGCGGCGAGAAGGGCACTGAGGGGCCCTCAGCGCGCCGAGCAGGTGAGCAGGTGGGCAGGTGAGCAGGCCGGGGGGTGCAGCCACGAGGTGACACGGGGTGGGGGCAGGCTGCCGGTGGTCCCGCGTGGTCAGCCCCACAGCAGTTGCGCCCTGGGATCGAGCTGAGTGACTCATTCGTTCACCCATTTATGTACGCACAAATTCATTTATTTAATCATTGATTATTTAGGGTTTAGGATGCTAAATTCCAAGTCTGACTGGCTCACGTATCCACAAGTTAAACAGTTAAACAGTGACTGACCATGCCCACTATCACGATGGCCCAACGGGATTACCAGGGTCCTGGCTGGCGGAAGGCCAGAGGGCGGGAGTCAGGGGAGGTGCTATGGGTAGCGGGCCAAGGTCACGCGGCCAGAGCCCAGGAAGATGCCAGACTCCACATGAGGGAGGCATCCTGGAAACAGGAGGTCAGGGGAATGCTTGAGAGGCAAGTTACTGCAGAAATACAAGGCACCAGATAGAAAAAGGTTTACAAGGTTTCCTCCCTCACGCCTGGCGTGGATGTTCCCTACGTGGTAATGCCTCCTGGAATCAGTGCTGACATACGCTGAGAAAACCTCTGACCCAGAGAAAGATCATTATCAGCTAATTTTACAGTGTTTTCCTCCATGACATCAATAACCTTCCTTCCCTAGAAGAATCGGGTGAAATGCATATTTAGACAAGTAAATCTATCTGATAAATTACTTCACAGATGAGAAAGAAGCCATGTGTGAAATGAAAGTAGATGTTTTCAAAACCACTTCATTTAGTGAGAGGACCCTAATCAATACGTGGGGTGTTTGGTGATGGGAGAAGCAGTGGGTTGGAGAGTCACGCTGGCCGTGGGCCCGGTACCCAGTGGCAGAGTCTGGTCCTACTTCAGGCACCTGGAGATCAGGTGACAAGTCTCTGTTTCAGCGGCATCTTGCCCATCCTGAAGGGCTGAGGGAAATCACGGGTGAACTCAAGCCCCAAACCAGGGAAACACTCAGTGGCAGCGTCAGCCTGTGAGTGCTGAGAACGGAAAGTCTGATACACTTTCCAAAACTGCTAATGGCCCTTTCGTGCACACGTTTGGTGTTTAATAACTGTTAGATGAACATCAACATTACATATTTGCATTTATACAGGTGACGCAACCAAAGGACACCAACTTTTATGTTTCAGGCTTAAAAAGACATTTAAGTACATCTTATTGTTCAAAATAATCACTGGGAATGCTTTTGAATAACTTTTTGGGGAATTATTTTCAAAAGCTAATTTTAGAAGTATAAAGGAAAATGCACTTGTCAAAATAATCTCTCTCTCGCTCTACACACACACACACACACACATCAACCAAGGATAGTTATTAAATGTATGATCTTCCAAATAATATTTCAACATAAAATGATGGAAACCCTGTTTTTGCCTCGCCTCCAGACAGGGGCTTCTCATTTGTTTGGTATGTTTCACAATCCTATTAAGTAGACTGTTGCTGCAGGCCATCACTATTCTATTTAGGGGAGAAAAATTTACAAATATTCGATTTCTAATGCTTAGAGCAAAAGAGGGGAAGGGAGGAATTAAGGATTCATCTGTACCTTTAAAAAAAGGTAGCTTATAATTCTATACTTCAATTATTTCAAGGCAACTTGGTATTTTTCCTGATGTTATCCATCTCATCTCTTATTCCCCAGACCACTCCCTAACTTTGGAAGGCAGGCCTGCCTCTGCTTCCCCACTGTTGTCTGGAAGAATTTTGACTCCATAACTAGGTCAACATTCAGGAGAAACTTTGAAGAGAAGCATTTTTTTCTTTTGTTAATACCTTTGGTGAATACACTTTGGGAATACAAAGATGTATTGGTAATGCTTGGTAAAATGATATGTACATAAATTAGAATTTTAGTCTGAATTCTGCACTGGTTCTTGTGTTATGTCTATGAAATCTGTTTTATATTTATTCCTCTGGAGTGATAGCTTTATAAACAAGAAAGTCATTTTCCACAAGGTGATTATTGTTTCAGAGCATTTCTGAAGACCAAGAGAGTGCTTAATTGTTGTTTGCTCGTAGGAGACACTTAGCGAATACTGGTGAACCTATCAGTAACCACCTCTTATAGCATATTTTTAAAATCTGCAATGATAGTAAGGTAAGTAAGATAAGAATGTAAGATAGAAACCTCCTTAAGTTCCTAATTAGTTCACTTTCCACACTTTCCCCCACAAGGGCAGAGTGTGAGGGGTGGTCCCTGACATCACGGACATGGGGTGCCTTGGGGGGAAGCTGGGGTTGGGCCCCACGGGCCCCCAATGGCCTCGGCATCTCCAGCCCCGCATGGACTGGGTCCTGATTCCCGCAGGGCAGGGCTCCCAGAATTGCGCCCACCCTGACCCCTGGGCTCAGGCTCATGGGGGCATCACGGCCTCCGCTTGGGGTCACAGGCAACAGGAAAAGACCACCAGGGCCCCTCGGCACTCCGAGTCACTGACCCTCGGGCGGACCTGGTCATGTGCTCAGAGCTTCTGCCTGGCTTGGACACCAAGGAGGAGACTGGGCGGCTGACCTGCCTGGGATCTCAGAGGCGGTGGTGCAGGTCTGAATCTGGTGAGCCCTCTCTTGCCTGCAGGCTCCGCAAGTGACAGCGAAGGTTCCGGGTGGCCGCAGGATCCCCACGACACCTAGCACCTGGTCATCGCCCCACGTCCTGCCAACTGTCCTGGCTTCAAACATGCACAGCTCTGTCACGGGCGGGTGGCCCGCCCCTGCCCTGGCTCCCAGGAGCCGTCAATAACTGGGGCCACTTCTCTCCAGTCCTGCTCAGAACCAGCCCCGCCCCAGCCCCGACGGGTCCAAACTCCACGATCTTCCCACACGTCGCTCGGCGACTCTGATCACTGGCTGCTTTGTGGGCTTCTCCAGGCCATGTTTACTCATGGTGCTACGTAAACCAGCACAGTGCACAGAAACGTTAGACAGTGATGCTTAGCTTAGGTGATAAATTATCAGATTTTTCTTGGCTTTCCCCAAGAACTGAAGGAGACTGTGACCTTCAGTTCCATGAATGGTCTGCTCTGTGGCAGGAATCGTGTTGACGGATCTGCCCGTGCAGACTCGGGCTGGGCCTGTTGTGAGGACCCCAGGTCACCGCCTGTCAGCTGAGGCTTTACTGCCATCTATTCAACTTTGGTATTTAAAACACCATCACCTCCCAAACATCATTGTTTTTCATATACAAAACTTTATGAAAACTCTACTTGACTGTTATAAGGAACCGTGACAATTGATAGATTTCATCCTAAGAAAAAGAAAAGTGATCCAGGAAAGAAACATTTCAAAACACCACTGCAAACAGCTCCGTGTCACCAATGTAAGCTGGAAAATTTCCAGATGTTTGGAGAGAACTCACCCCAGTCGGTGAGGACAGAGGTGCCCCACACCTATCCGTCTGGGGTGGGGGTCAGAGGGCGTCCCTTACCTGTGGGCCTGATGGTGGAGGCAGCGTCAGCGGGGATGGTCAGGGGCAGGCACTCATCGTCCTGGGAGTAGCCCGCTTGAATGGCGCGCAGGTAGCTGTGGCTCCGTGTCCGGAAGCATCCCGGGAGGTCCAGCGCGTCCATGGCCTGAGACTCCACTTCGCTGAAGACCGACTCACACACCGACTCGAACTGCCCGTTGACCTCAGCCTCGCTCATCTGCAAGAGTGACAGCACGGCTGATGGCTTGGCCCGGCCAGGCACCACAGCCCCGCACCAACGGAGAAGTGTGCAGAACTCACCCGTCGGCACTCACCGCTTGCCATGCACAGCTTGATTAATTTGAAGTCGGCACACTGGGGGCCATTAAGCTTGGGGAACACTGAGAAAAACCACCAATTCCCACTATGCCCTGGAAAGTCTACAGACCCTGAGGCAGACCTTTAAAGTGCAACTGGCAGTTACCACTGAGGTCAAGAGGAACAGCGAGGCTAAAGGTTAGCACACCGTGCAAGGTATTCGTCATCCCTCTTTTTCCGTTTTCATGGCCCAGGCTGTTTCCAGCTCAGACAAGCCAGGTAAGGATGCTGTGCTCACAAAGACCCACGGGCGCGGCTCTCTCTGCTTCCACTCAGCTCAGCGCCCCGGGCTAAGGAGACGGACCCCTGCTCAGCCTCGAGCTTGCCCCCGCATCCCTGGAGGCGGCCCCAGCCCATGTCCCGGAGGCACCTCAGTCTCTCACACTGCAGGCGTGCCGCCCACACTCCGCTGGGTCCCTCCCCTCCTTCAGCGTGGGCCGGCAGTGCCCGCCCTGAGATTGGCGGTTCATCAGGTAAAGTCGTTATTCTCAAGCCTGGCATTTCATTTCTGGGTAGAGAGTCACCCTGGGACCCTGTGTTATGAAACGAATGACTGGGCTTTGAAGAGCGAGGGTCCTGAGGGCCGTGCTCCAGGGGCCTGACTGCGGGTGAGCGGAGGGCCTCCGTGTGCTGTCCTTGCCGAATGTGGTTTCCTGAGGTTTCTGGGGCCTCCCGGGAGCCACGTCTAGGGGTTTAAGTGGAAACTCAGTAGCGGGACACAGAGCAGGCTGAAGAGCCTGGGGTGGGGGTGGGGGGCATGGGGACTGTAGGAACGAGGATTCCGGGTTGGGCCCATGAGCTGCAGCCACTCCCAGGCCTGGGTTCCTGGGGACCTGGACAGGTGGCTCCTCCCCACACCCCGCCTTCCGGGGCACCTCGTGCTGACACGCAAGCAGGTCAGGAGATGCCCGCGGGGACGCTGATGTGGAAGGCCAGAAGTCCGTGTGGAATCAGGGCTCAGGCAGAAGCCAAGATGGTTCTCCCAGGCAACCTGCTGGGTCCCTGCCTGGGGTTCACGGAGGGGCCCGGAAACCTGGGCGGGTCTCCCTGCCACCCCTGTGCGGGGGGCCTCTGCCTTCGGAACCCCGACTGCCCCCGGCACCCCAGCCACGCCTGCAGCCAGCGTCCTCATGGTGGCCACGGCCTGCTCACAGTCTCAGCCCAGCGCCCAGCTGAGTCACTCACTCCACCCCTGGAACGTGACGCACAGCTTCCTGAACACTCCTGCTACGTCGACAGGTAATTTTGAAAAGTATTGTTCTAAATACCAGATCAATCCTTTCCCTCTAATTGTTCACAGAGTTAAAGCAGGTCAAGAATTGGATTTGCCCTTCATCAGAGAAGACAGCTTCTGCCCACCTCTAATCACAGACCTGGGCCTGGCTCCCTGCTTCTATTAACACCTGAGATTATTCATGAGTGCTCCACTCACTGGACAAATCCTAGTGAGCACAGCCCGGGAGGAAGGTGCTGAGGGGCCCTCCAGGCAGGACTGCTGACCTGGAGTCGTTCAGGCAGAAAAGAGAAGAGAAACACTCCCAGGCGACTGCCCCACGTGAGTGGTTTCAGGGTGTCTGATGCTGGAAAGGGGCAGACGAATTCGGGCAAAGACAGACGCCGACAGCCCAGCATGGTCACTTTGCTGCCTATCGAGGGAAACACATCCCACACAGTCTCACTCTGGCTCGAAGTATGCCCTTTCCCGGAGTACAGACTCCTTCCTATCCAGGTTTTCCCTTATGTGGAACTATATCAGAAAGTATCAGACTGTTTCACACCACTTACATCAGAGACCCACGTCAGACAACCCTGAAGAGGCCAGAAACCGAGTGGGGTCGCCTGCACCCGCCAGTCCCAACATGGGGTCTCGGTGGGTCCTCCTCTGCAAACCCACAGGCCCAGCGCCTTTCTCCCTCTGGAAGAGGTGCCATCACCCTCGCGTGTACATTCTGGGCACTCAGGGGTGGGCATTCAGCAAGGACCCCTCGCCAGTGCTTCCAGCCACAAAGCTGACCAGCAAGGCCCTTCAAACGAGGGGGAGTTTTCCCCCAAACAAATACGCAGGTGAGAAGGAACTCAGCTGGTCTAGACTGGAAATGAAATGGCCTTTTCTCTGACTCGCTCGAGGGAGATTTGGAAAAGTGGGCATTTTGCTCTGCAACTCAAACTGCAGCTCAGCCTGACATGAGGTGTCCTGGGAGGATGCAAAGTCAGTGGGGTACATAATCAGTGTGGGCTGAAGTGCCGGCTTCTCTAGTGAACTGCAAGCGCAGGAAAGCACTTAAACTGCTTCTGGAGGACGTGGGCTTCGAGATGCCAGAGAAAACCAGAAGATGGTGAGGAACGTGGCTCCTGGTGGCAGAGAGCCCGACACCCGCTGAGGGCGGGTTTCCCAGGGTCAGGACAGGGGCGCTTGCAGAGCGAGGCGGCGGCTGGGGGAGGGCCCGGGACCCTGGATGCAGCTGCCGGCGCTGGAAAACCGGGGCAGCCCCTGCGGGAACCGGCTCGGAGGTTCCTCGGGAGCTCACAGCTGCACCCGCAGGAACGGGGTGTGCAGCATGAGAACTGGAAGCAGAGACACGGACAGATGCTCGCACACCCGTGTTCACACAGCGTCACTCACAGCAGCCAAGGGGGAAGCGACAGTGTCTGCTGACAGACGGCGGGTGCACATGCAGGCCATCCACACAGCGCGCTGCTCAGCCTTAGAGGGGACGCACGCTCTGACACAGGCGACCGCATGGAGGAAAGCGGAGCAGGGCCGACACGGAGGACGAACGCTCTGTGAGTCACTCCTGTGAGGTCCCGGGAGGAGACAGAGGGGGCGGCAGGGCAGGGGTCAGCGTTTCGTGGGGACAGCTTCAGTTTGGGAAGATGAGAGAGCTCTGGAGACGATGGTGTGGCTGGTTGCCCAACAATGTGACGTGCCAAACGCCACGGGATATACACTGGAAGACGGTTAAGATGGTAAATATTGTGGATTTTATGTATGTTTTACCACAGTGAAAAGAGGAAGGATGCATGACAGAAAGAAGGTACCCTCACACTGACACGGCTTTGCGAGGACAACGAGAAGGCAGGAAGAGCAGGTGGCAGGCTCGGCCGTGGGGGAAGGCGGACGCGGCTCCTGCGGGGGCGGTGGGGTGCCCCCTGCCCTGCACGCCCAGCAAAGCGCCTGGGGTCCTGGGCAAACAGGCCAGCCATCAGAACGATCTGGACGGTGCATGGACGGAGCGCACAGAGACTGGCAGGAACCAGGATGTGGCCGCGGGGGCCTCAGCAAGGCAGCCACGGCAGGAAGGCGAGCAGAGACCAGGTGGAGCCCCTCCCGCCCTCCCGCCCGCCTGTCCAGACAGCTGTCCCACTGCGGCTCCCTCATGCCCAGTGGCGCCGGGTCCAGAACCGTCGGCAGCCAGGCTGGGTGTGAGCACAGTGGTGGCGAGGGTGCGAGGGGCGGGGAGAGGTCCCTGAGTGCCCCTCTGCGGGTCCCCCTCCCGCGGGCCCCTTCCTCAGGCGGCAGAGCCGGGGCGGACTGGACCACCTGCCGCCCGCGTCCTCAGAGAACAAGGCAGGGAGTGACCTGCCGGCTCGCCTGCAGCTGCGGGGACAGTCTGTCCAGGGAAACAGCGACCTCTGGGGGGGGCTGGTGCTGCGGGGCCCTGTGTGTCCCCTTGGGTGGGACTCAGACCCTCTGCGTGGGGGGCCTGGCCCAGGGAAGGAGGCTGCTCCGTGAGGGGTGGTGGGGGGATGTGGTGGACGCTCCTATCAGCCCTCCTCAGAGGAGCTGGGAGTGGGAACCACTCCCAGGGTCACAAAGGCCCCGTCACGCCCACGGAGCTCCCAAGTGTGGTGGCCCTGGAGCACTCCTGGCTGGGACTCTGCAGCAGGGGGCTGACTGGGAGGGGAGGGGCCCCACCTGGCTCACGCAGCTGGCCTGGCTGAGGGTGCTGACGGCGCGCATGTAGCTCTGGTTCCGGGAGCGGAACTTCGGGGAGTTGTAGTTGGCAGAGGGGTCCAGCCCGTGGCTGGCAGGCCCGTCGCTGGCAGCTTGCAGGTAGCTCTGGCTACAGGAGAGAAAGAGAGAAGACAGAGGCCTCGTGAGCATCGCTGCAGGGACCATGTGTGCCGGCGCCTGGGGCCGCTACCAAACCCCGTCCTGCGGTGGACTTCTCGGGCACATGGAAACATTCCTGACAGACATGCTCACGGATGTGGGTTCATCAGCACCAATGGGGCAGGCTACTTACAGACTTGCTTTGAACCTGACTTTTTATGATCAGGTAGTGAAATCGGGATCATTCCACATAGAAAGAAACCTAACCCTGAAAGCATGGATAACTCACACAGCCTAAGAGCAAGCTGGACTCAGAAGTCCATGAGAGTCTCATAAAAGTCAGGGTAGCTTTTGGCACCTTTACACACTCAGAAAAATAGAAGAAAAAAAATCAAAGGTTTGCCAGCCATTTGAACTTATGTGAAGTTGTCCAGATTATGCAATAGAAGCAGAGAGCAAACTGAAAACTCAAATCCATATTATCATCATAATGGTCATTTCCTTCCAAACAGCCTTAACAATCAGTTTCCTCTAGTCTCCCTCCTTGTTTTTTGCAAAATCTTGAAAGCATGGGGGAAACCTTGAGGATATCTGGCAGAGAGGGTTCAGCTGGGTTGACGCTTCTGGCTAAATCGAGCTCCTTTCAGGTCTGGTGACAGTCTTTCCACAATCAAGACAGACTGCATTTTATTTGACTCTCAAGCTGGAATAATGTGGACAGCAATAATGGAGTTATTCTTCTTTCCTACTGTGGATCACAGTGAGACAGTTAACTAGGATAATTGCACAGGCCTGTGTATAAAAATTAGGTTGCTAATTCCGACTCCATGTCTTGACTACAGTATGTTTCCTGCTTTTTAAAGTAAGCCCTTGATGTAAATTGATTTCTCGGTGATTTACTTCTTTAGAAATGGGGTAGCAGAGGGAAAACTGGCTTGCTGTTAAATTCAGATTAAGGAAGCTCATTTGTTTTAAGGTCATTATTTCAGGTAATGTTAATAGTATGTACTTTTAGATACTAACGGCTCAGAGGTTAAAGCATCTGCCTGCAATGCGGGAGATCTGGGTTTGATCCCTGGGTCGGGAAGATCCCCTGGAGAAGGAAATGGCAACCCACTCCAGTATTCTTGCTTGGAGAATCCCATGGACGGAGGAGCCTGGTAGGCTACAGTCCATGGGGTCACAAAGAGTTGGACATGGCTGAGCGACTTCACTTTCCCTTTCAGAATACAATTTATAAATTATTATAATGATAACTTTGTTTTAAAACTAGGTATATAACATATTTCAGCTCTTATATCCCTTCTTTCCACTTAAAACAGACCAAAAAAGAAGAGAAGAGAAAAGGAAAGGAAATGGGAGAGAAATGAGACTGGGGCCGCCCTGACGCTGGCCCGTAAAGTGTCCAGGTCTCTGCCGGACTCCTTGTCCCCTATGCTGCTTGGGCCTGGGTCTGGGCGGGGGTCTGCACACTCCAGTTTCTACCAGTTAGCACTTTTATCTTACTTCCAATTGAAGAGCTTTCCCTTCTGATTACCACCACTCTTTGCTGATCCAACATTCTCACATTTAAGTTCTCAGCATCTGTAAAAGCAGGGCTGTGTCTTCTTTATCTCTGTATCCAGGTTTCCAGCCCAGAGTCTGGCACTGTGAGCGGGGTGACTAAGAACTGTGGCTGGGTGGCACCCACACACGGGTCTATTTGTGATTCTCCGTTCAGATGTGTCTTCTCACTCATGACCTCCTCTTTATTCCAGCACTGGGCAGCCACTGAGGGATGAGCTGCCACTACAGGAAGCTAACCACGGGTTTTCTCTCACACACAGACTCCAGGCATCGAACATCCATGACGCACTGTCACGCTGGCCCCTGGAGGCACCCTGTACCAGCCCCACGCTTGGGCCTCACTGCAAATGGGGAGCCACCTCGCCCATGCACCCCCAGAGCGAACGCAGAGCCCAGGCAGCCGGCTCCAAAACTCATGCTTTTTGCCCCAAGATCTGCGCAGTTGAGTCAGAGAACAGAGGTTGCAAAGGTCTGGTCCCCAACTTCAGCCCCACTTGTTTAGGGTGGCTTGGCATCCTCCAACACACCGGGCAGGCCAGGGAGCCCCGCAGGTCACAGACCTGGGGACAGTTGGGAAAGTGCTTTTTCCAGATTATTTCCATAATTAGACTGTGTAAATATGGAAATATTCAGACTAAGCTTTAACTGCAGTCACCGCAGAAGGTATGCTCGTGTTCACCCCATCCAGGGCTGGGCACTCGGAGCCTAGAAGTGACACCGCCCCCAGGGACCTCTCTGGGGACAGCTGAAACCTCCCGGCCCTGAGGAGCCTCCCAATGACGACAGAAAGCCGGCGTCAGGCTCAGAATCGGTTCCCTGTGTGACGGGAAGGTGGGAGGGCCCTGGGCTGGAGCCCGAGAGGAGGGGTAGTGTCGCGGGCTTCGGGGCCAAGCTGCCCGCCCGCGCTGCACGTGCCCTCGTGCGTCCCGGACTGCCGGACCTGCTGCTCTGGGTCTGCTCCTCACGGCATTCCTCTTCTAACCAGCAGCGCTGCGGGGAAAGGCCTGTGTGCCTTCTGGTAAATTCTGCAGACTTTCTCCAGTAGCTGCCCAGAATGCTGCCAGGCGCTGATGCCAACAACAATGGAGGAATGAATGTCAGATAGAAACACGGGGTACCCTGATAAACATGGAGTTCAGAGGAGCAGCAGGTAACCCTCCCGAGCACTATGCTCCCAGCAGGGTCCCAGATGTGTCCCTTAGGCTGAAGGAATGCACTGTCCATCCGGAAGTCAGACGTCACTGTTTGTCTTTCTCAAATCTGGCACTACTACGACAGAGGTGCACTGGGGCCAAAGGGTCGGAACGCCGACGGTATCACAGATGGTCTGAGTGCACAAGGGTGGATGGAGGGGCCGTGGGAAGACATGGGCTGTGGAGAAGCTTCCGGAAAAGACCAGTGGGGACTGTGCAGCTCCCTCTGGAGTCTGGACTTAATGCCACAAGCACAGGAAAGCACTGCCAGTCCCTCACTGTGGAGACGGGTGCTCAGAGGGTGGGCAGGAGGTGGGGGGGTACAGACACAGAGCCCCTGGTCACTGCCCACAGTGCTGTGCTGAGTCCTCCCTCAGGAGGGGGGGGTGCAGACGCAGAGCCCCTGGTCACTGCCCACAGTGCTGTGCTGAGTCCTCCCTCGGGGGGGGAGGGGGCAGATGCAGAGCCCCTGGTCACTGCCCACAGTGCTGTGCTGAGTCCTCCCTCAGGGGTGTGGTGCAGATGCAGAGCCCCTGGTCACTACCCACAATGCTGTGCTGAGTCCTCCCTCAGGAGGGGAGGGGGCAGACGCAGAGCCCCTGGTCACTGCCCACAGTGCTGTGCTGAGTCCTCCCTCAGGAGGGGGGGGTGCAGACGCAGAGCCCCTGGTCACTGCCCACAGTGCTGTGCTGAGTCCTCCCTCGGGGGGGGGAGGGGGCAGACTCAGAGCCCCTGGTCACTGCCCACAGTGCTGTGCTGAGTCCTCCCTCAGGGGTGTGGTGCAGATGCAGAGCCCCTGGTCACTACCCACAATGCTGTGCTGAGTCCTCCCTCAGGAGGGGAGGGGGCAGACGCAGAGCCCCTGGTCACTGCCCACAGTGCTGTGCTGAGTCCTCCCTCAGGAGGGGGGGGTGCAGACGCAGAGCCCCTGGTCACTGCCCACAGTGCTGTGCTGAGTCCTCCCTCGGGGGGGGAGGGGGCAGATGCAGAGCCCCTGGTCACTGCCCACAGTGCTGTGCTGAGTCCTCCCTCAGGGGTGTGGTGCAGATGCAGAGCCCCTGGTCACTACCCACAATGCTGTGCTGAGTCCTCCCTCAGGAGGGGAGGGGGCAGACGCAGAGCCCCTGGTCACTGCCCACAGTGCTGTGCTGAGTCCTCCCTCAGGAGGGGAGGGGGCAGACTCAGAGCCCCTGGTCACTGCCCACAGTGCTGTGCTGAGTCCTCCCTCAGGAGGGGAGGGGGCAGACGCAGAGCCCCTGGTCACTGCCCACAGTGCTGTGCTGAGTCCTCCCTCAGGAGGGGAGGGGGGGCAGACGCAGAGCCCCTGGTCACTGCCCATAGAGCTCTGCTCAGCCCACCCTCAGGAGGCCTGGGTGGGGGGTGGGACCCATGGCCCAGGTTCATCTGTGGAGTTTGGTAGAGGAGTCTCAGGGCACACCCCGGGGGGCTGACGGGATCAGGGGTCTCTGATGTGGTCCCCACCTTTCCATGTGAGATCTGTCTGAACAAAACATTTCAAAAGTTTAATTTTTTTGGAAAAGAGCAAACCTAGGTGAAGTCATCATAAAGCATAGTGTATTTTTCTGGAATAGAAATGGCAGAACAGAAAACCAAACACCACTGGTTGTTACAGACGAGACAGGCGGTGTCTGTGAGCTGTCCAGGTGACGGCTCTGGGCGGCCTCCTCCTCTGTAACCCCACACACACCCTCAGTGTGCTGGGTTGCCACTCTGCTCAAGCTGAGCCCGTGACTGAAACTGAAGTTGTGTCTCCTCCTGGATGAGTCACAACATGATGATTGGTCATTTGTACATCTTCTTTTGTGAAGAGACTTTTCACCTACCCCCGCATTTTTAACCGGGCTATTTCTAGTTTTGTTTTGTGGGAGTTCTTTATATATTCTGTACTCAAATCCTTTGTCAGATATTCATTTCAAGTATTTTCCTTCACTTTGTGACTTGCCTTGTCCCCTACTTGTTGGGAGTGTTTTGATGTGCAGACATTTTAAATTTAGATGGCGAGAGTCACTCTTCAGTCACATCGATTTATTCTATTTGAGTTATCTTTAACCCAAGAGGTTTCACCCCCAAGGGACCGCTGGAGACACTTGGAGATATTCTGTTGTCACAGCTTGGGGATGGGAGCCTGGTGAGCAGAGACCAGTTCAGTCAGTTCAGTTCAGTCGCTCAGTTGTGTCTGACTCTTTGCGACCCCATGAATCGCAGCACGCCAGGCCTCCCTGTCCATCAC